TTAAGACAGAAATTCAGAAGTTTTACTCTGTGGCCAAAGATTTAACTTTTCCACAGAGACAAGCTTAAAAACCAGATATAGGATTTACTGTTTGGAAAAAAATAAAATAAAATTCCAAAGAATCTATTATCAAATCCCAGAGTAATACTCCAGTGCTCAGATCCTAAGAATATCTACAACTAATGCAAAATATTTTACAAACAAACAGATAAAAATATACATACTGAGTATGCATATACATGAAGCGAATAGCTCCAGCAGTATCACAAAAAACCCACCAGTTTGATGTATTCCAAGTTGAATTAGTGTTCTTTTGCTTTTGTCCAACTGACATGAAGGTGAACCTATTTTAAAGCCAACATTTGCTAGTAAAAGTACCTTTGCTTGCAGTCAAAAATATGTTATGTTACAGCAGTTTAATCTTTAAGTAATTTATTTCAAGTGAGTGCGTTTCTTTGAATTTTGCTCGCAAGTAATCTGTCTTCCATCAATGAGTACCTGTGCAAATTATTAAAATAAAAAGGCTTTCAAAGCACTGCTGTTCCGTACTTCCTTCACTTAGATTTGACTTGAGGCTTATTTAATATGCTCCCATGTAGATAAAAGTAGCACAGTTTTGTTTTCATGCTGGGTGGCCAAAAGGTTAAACGTCATGTTCCCAGTGTGGGAAAATCCCAGAAGAAGACAAAACTGTTTTGATGCTTACAGAAATTATATTTCTAGTAGAGTACTTAGATGTAGAACAACCACCAATTCTGTTAGTTGATCCCTCTTCTCTGAGATAAGAACATTATTATATTAAAATATTTATAAGCATAGGAAGCTGGAATGTGTTTTAAATGTTGAGAAAAGGGCCCTTTTCAAATAAAATACTGTTACAGGAAATTCTTGGGGTAACAGTGTTTATCCATAAGCACAGCGATTCTTGAAATCTTCTGAAGTAAATATTACACTCAGATATTCTCCAACAGTCCCTCTTACATGAGTCTGATTTGCAACTTACTGAAACTCCAGAAGTTCTTCCAGAAGTTTCAGTTAGTACATATATTTTGCTGTACAGGTCCATATGTTTTGCTGCCTGCAAGACTGAAACATGCAGTATCCCAAACATACAGCATACATTTTTAACATCTTGAGGAACAAGAAGTAATGCCAAGAGGTAAACATGCCTTTTCCTTCAACACAACTCTTGGTGCAGCTGGCTGGCAAGCACTAACCTCGTCAGGGTTATTACACAGTGAGAAGCTTCAAACAACATCAGCCAAAGAGCCAACCACTTTTTCACATTTGGCAACTGACCTGCTGCATGAAACACACAACGTGTATGGAAAACAGTTAACTACAAATGATCCTTGTGAAAATGATCCTTTATGCATCTCTTAGAGCAGGCAAAATAGCCTGCTCCCTAAGGGAATTTGCCTTATGTTTTGGAGTTAACGTCTTGGTCTTCATTTGACAGTGTTGGAAATATATGATGCAATCCAGTCAGAAATGTGCTGCTACAAATAAACTTGACCTTTTGAGTACTTTCTCAGACAGTTTGACACTACTGCTGAGGTAGAAGGGAAAGAAAAGCCTCTAGAAACATCCAAACTATGCAGCTTCTCCTGGAATTGAAGTGTGCCTTCACGAAACCTGATAAAGAAAATTCTCTGTACCTGTCTCTCCACCGCTTTTTTAATTTCTAAATCATCTCTGAAGTAAGCGATTCTTAGAGGCTGTTTCATGAAGTCTGGACCTGGTATTTGCTACCTTTATGGAATGACAACACAGTTACAAAAAAGATCTCTTTGGGGATGCTAAATATGTCATCGTTGGTATTTCCAAGAAAATATTAACTATATTAATTATAAGTTAATAATAAGTTATAAACTATAGAAATGAAAGTGGAAGCAAGGAATATGAAAGCAAGGAAGTGGAAGACAAATATTCTGATACGGGATTGTGTTTTTCTGATAACATTACATTTTGGTGAAAAAGCATGGTACACAGCGGCCCTGACAAGGTAAAGGTTTCATGAGAAGCATACTGTCTGAAATCTTCAGGATCAGCACCTTTCTTGGGTCAATATCACAGTACAGAAAAATCTGTATCAAAATAACAGTTCTTTCAAAAAGTTTCTGTTCTGAATAAGCATCTCCATACCTGCAAAGTAGCTCTTCCAGTCTTCACTGAATCTTTCTGTTTGTTTGAGTGCAGAATTTTACTTTGGCTTTGAAATGTCAGATAGGAGTTAAGTGGAAATTAAGTGGAAGGCTTCGTGGACTTTGGTAACAAATACAACAATAAAACCATTGCTCTTTAGAATATCCAAGATTTTACTCCATGTAATTACATATAAGCTCCTGGTCTTCAGGACTGATATTATTCTTAGAAAACTATGTGAGAAAAAGGAATCCTAGAGGCAGCTTAGGTTCATGCTGCATCTGTAGCAAATCTTACTCTCTACCATAAAACCTCCAATAATATAGTTGGTCAAACAATTATATTATTACACTAACTGCATAAGATTCGCCTGCTCAAAATACTTTTCCACATGGCCACATGAACATTATTTGGAGGCAGATGGCCTCCAAAAAGAAAGCTGTTCTTTTACATCAAAACAAACTGGGTTAAAAACAAACATGCGTACATCCTTTTCAGTGTCTAGGAAGACCAGAAACCTATTCTGCTGTCTGCTGGAGTGGCCTACATGAAACACCAAGGTCATTCTGCTAATTACATTTCCACAGAAAGCCAGCTCAAGAAGTAAGGATTAAATTAAAGACTGTCTTATCCATATCTATTTTAAACATCAAAAGCAGTCAATAGTATCACAAGTAATTAAATATCTGAATGCATTATGATACTGTTTTCACTTACAAATTCACTGTGCACTATTACAAATTCAGTTATCCATCATTAATGTTTCAGAAAGATTTTTTCACCAAAAAGCACTAATTTTGTTAGCCAAGTTGCTTCTGCACTTCTATCTGTTATATGGAGTCCCAGAGGTGGAGCAAAAATCATTCCCTATAATTCTTTCTAGCAGCGACTGTCACTCACTAGGGCAGTGAGAGCAGTGATATCAGCTGCTTCTTCCAATGATCCAAGTAAAAGGCATCTGGAAAAAGCATCCAGGTAGAGAGAAAATTAGGAGCAGCATATTACCATTGCACAATATCATGAATACCATTCAATGCAACTTGAACACAATATTTGCATTTTTTCTTCCCTGAGAAGACACCTCTGGAGGTATTTTAGATGCCTGCAGTGAAAGACACCACAGATCTGCTGGGCAATCATAAATGGAGTACAGATGGCAGGTGAATCTCATGGTCAGAAAGCTGTTTGTATCTCTAACAGATAGATGCAGTATCAAACTATGATCTTAATTGCCACACAAATCCTTCTGCAGCACATAATCAATAATTAAAAAAAAAAAAAAGAGAGGAAATTACTAACTCAACACAAGAAGTCTGCAGCTATTTGATCCTTGTCTTTAGGGGAAAAGGAATTGAAAGGATGCTTTTTCAGGAATACTGGACACTCAAATCGGCGGTTTTCAGGAATCAATGAGATCATTCAAACTAAAAGCTGTAACATAAAGTCAAGTATTCCAAGATGTCAGTCCTTGTGCATTTAGTCTGGCTACACAAACTGAGTGGGTACATCTCAACCTACTTCTTCAAATATTTTTGTTACTCAAACTGAAAACCAAATTAATTACAGTCTTTCTGCATAGGAACGTATGTAACTTCTTTTCCTCCCGCTTCACATTCAGCCACATAGCACTCAAAAACATTTAGAATACACACAAAAGATGCATTTTATTTTACACATTGCTTCACATTAGTTCAAATCTAGTGTTAATTCTGACTTCTAAAACTTCTGGCTTTAAAACTTCAACATTTTGTAATTTTTGTCAGTGAAAATTCCTAATTACGTTTCATACTAAACTTAGTGGCTATTCTAGGATGCAAGAGCTGTTTCCCTCAAAAGAGGTTGAAAACGTAAGACTGGATAAATCAAATGAAGTAGTGTTTTGTCCAATCAAACAGCATGAAAGACTGAAAGAGTTTGCTAGGTTCTCTGTGCCCTAACAGCACACTCAAAACAACAAATGCTCAGTCAAAAGTACCTGGTTCACCTCTCCTTTAGGAGCAATACTGCCCACAGAAGCTGCCCTTGGCTAGAAATCTGAGGCATTAACCACACAACGCCTCCACTGCAAAAACACTGATCCTCTTCCCATACATAACAAGCTTGATGTAGAGAAAGCAGGCGGTGTGCAACAGTGATGAGCAGTGTGAGAAGATGTCATCCTGGGAGATCAACTAATCTTGGCTCTTGACATTTTAAAAAATATGACGCATGTCATAAAAATAAAAATAATAACTAAAAACAAACAAACAAAACGATTATCATTTGCTAAGAACAGCACTGTGCTGGAGTTTCTCCCTGCTTGAAAATTTCCAAGTTCACACGAGCTATTTTGAGTTACCAGGCCGGCCAGGCAGTGCTCCTGCTGAACCAGCCCAACCTCAGCACAGCACACCTTACCGGCACCCCTGCTTCCCCCAAAGCCCTGCACAAACCTTCTGCAAGACTGATTGTCCGATATTAAAAAAATAACTGTTCTAAGCACAAGGAACAGAACGCACAGGTTTTGTGCCACCAGCAGGGTTCTGCCTGCTGAAAAAAAAAAAAAAAAAAAAAAAAAGCGAGGAGCTCCGGAGGCAGAGAACAGCGCGCACAGCGCTGACGCTCCCGCAGCGCAGCCAAAGCCCGCAGGCGCCGGCAGCCCCGCTACGTCCAGTGGTCCGGCAGCCCCTCCCTCTGAGAGCGGACCGGCTCCATGCCGGGTGACAGGCAGGAGAGGGAGAGGGACTGCGTTCCTCGATCCGCGCTCGGCCACCGGCTGGCAGCACCCCGCGATCCCGCGCCGCCTCGGGATGAGCTCCGGCCGCGGCACGGAGCGAGGCCGCGGGGCGGGTAGGGCGCGGCGCGCACACACCTACCGTCTCCTTGGCAGCGGCCGCCACGGGGATGGGGAGCAGCGCCCGAGCTCCGCCCGCCTCGGCGGCTGCCGGCTGCCGGGAGGACTCCCGCCGCCGCCGCTCGGACAGCTGATAGCCCGCGTAGCCGGCGAGAGCCGCCCCCGCAGCCCAGCCCAGCTCCCGCCGCCACCTTCTCGGCCCGGCCGGCTCGGCCCCGCCGCCGGCCCACAGCCTCCGCGCCGACAGGGCGCTAGGTGCAGAGCCCAAGCGGCGGCGCCACCGCAAGACGGTACGCAGGGCGGCCATGGCCGCCGCTCCGCCCCGGTGACAGGCGGACACAGCCCCCGCCGGCGACCGGGGAAAACCTCGCGAGAAACGGGGAAGGGGTGGGGAAGGGAGAGCCCCCGCCAGTCCCCGCCCCCGCCCGCCGGTACCTTGGTCCGGAGCGCTGCCCAGATGTTCCCCTGCCTCTTCTGGCAGCACAGCGGCGGCGCGGCGGTCACAGCTTCTGCAGTGGTTCCTGGTGCCTGAGGGGCGGCCTCAGGGCAAGGCAGCAGCAGGCAGCCAGGTGCTTTCTGGCAGCGGTGGGCTCTGATGTCGATGGGGATCAGAGGCTGTCAGCCCGAGTGAGGAGAGTCGTGTCGGCCCGAGTCTGGGCAGGCTAAGCCGAAGTTGTTGGGCAAGGCCATGTGCTCAGTTGGGACTGAGCTCATATGTGGGCCTTATGGCATAGAGCTGTGGAAACACAGAACATCCCAAATTGGAGGGGACTAACAGGGATCAAGTCCAACTCCTGGCTCCACACAGCACCACCCAAATTTCAAACCCTATGTCAGTGTTGTCCAAATGCTCCTTGAACTCACAGCAGCTTGGGGCCATGCCCACTGCCCCGGGGAGTTCGTTCCATAACCTTCCCTTTTCTTTTTGTAGTTACACTTGAGAGGTCTTCCTGGATGACCCTGGAATACATTCCAGTAGAAGCCTGAAACCAATACCTTTAAGGAAAGAACCTCTGAATATACCTCACTTGGGCCGTAAGCCTGAAGAGGTGACAATAGCATCAAAATTTTTCGCTGTTTTACTGCTGAGTCAAAAACATTCGATGACCTTAGTTATACTTATTAGAATGAAGATTCCTGTGAGTCCATCAGTCCCTTAAAATTACTGGTGTCCTGATCTGATTGCAAATCTTGAAAAATCTTGATGCAGATATACAAAGGTTTGTAGTCTGCTGAAACTTAAAATAGTGTGAGACACTTCACGTAAACCAAAGTGAAATAGTGTTGTATGTGTTATCAACATCTGTTATACTGAGTCATCAGTTTTTAAATTTATTGGAAGCTGACAAAGTGTCAGTATTTTTGGATCTGTACTATAAAATGTCCATAGGAGGTGCTTGGTTGCAAGAGGCACAGTATCAGCAGATGAAATGTGAAGCGGAGAGCTAAGAAACTAGTCAGCAAAGAATACTTTCACTGGGCCAGGTTGACTGAGCCAGGTAATGTCCCTTTTCTTTGGTTGTTTATCACACTGTTTAGCTGGAACTCAGTTTAACTACTTGATTCCCTAGAAACTGCTGCCTTCCCGCATCCATCTAACCTTTCCCTCCAATACTTCCCTTTGTTCCTCAGGTTCCCAGAAAAGTGGGATTCCCCTACCCACTTTTCAAGCATATATCCCATTCCTTTCGAAGTGACCTCAGATTTCAGTTTCTCCCACAATTCTCTAACACTGTACTTTGAGGCCTTCCATCAACTCCCAAAGGAAACCACGGAGAAAATGTATGCAGCCTCACTTCTGCTACGTATTCTTAGCCATGGATGGCCCTGAGCGTATATTCAAGTACTGAAAAAGTTACTGATAAGAAGTTGTTTTGACCCTAGCTGAGGCTGATGGGCAAGGACCTTTTCAAGCATTCTGTGACACATCATTTTCTCCATTAGCACAACATGCATTGCCACCTACACTGTGTTGAAATTTCATAAGTTGCATGCAGACATTTCAAGTCTTAAGGACTTTTTTTCCTGGGGTCAGTTGCAGCTTCGTTTTTTTTGTTTTGTTTTGTTTTGTTTTTTTGTCTTTTGTTGTAAGTATACTCTTCCCAAGCTTCAGTCACTGTTTTTGTTTTTGTTTTTCCTAGCTCTTTGCTGTCTTTGTATGTTACTGCAAACAAAATGTGAATTTGTTATGTAATCATATACACATATTTCAGAAAATATAAGAACTAAACCTCATTTAATAAATTTAGTACGATTTCTAAGAAAAAATTCAGTAATTACCATATTGTATTGCAGGAGAACTGTGCTTGACAATAGGCAATCTGACAGTTCACGCAACTGCATGCATGTCCAAGGCTGAATTATCTCAGAGATAGGTCTAGAAAGACAGCCACCTGGAGAGATGACATCTAATCCATTTCTGGAAAAGAAATCACTTTTGGTCAATGTAATGTCCCTAAGTAAGTCTGTTAGCTAAATGAGTGATTAGTTACTTGAAAGTATAGATTAGAACCGTGAGTAATCTCCCCGATGACATTGTTTTTCTGAAATTGGTTAGCCACAATTTAATGACTTTTCAATAACACCCTTAGGCTAATCTTTTTTTCACTTCAAAAAACCCAATAAACATCTGTAACTGCTTACATCCGAGCATGTTAGTCAAAGCTTCTCTGGCGAGGCGTTAGGTTAGGAACAAGAGTGCAATTTATTTGGGCAGTAAGTCAAAAATAGTAAGCTGTCTGCACATCCTGTGTGCATGGGTTCAGAAGCCATCTAATGTAAGTAAATCTTAGTTTAGTGATCTGGTTAGAGAACTGATGATATAAAAGCTGCCAAATTAGATATTTAATTGGAATATATGGATAATGCCCATTCTCAGTGAATGTAAATGGACGTAAGGATTCCTCACTACCTAGGTAGCTCACTATTTAGCTTCTCTATCCCATTACACTTAAGTGGGAGTTATCCACCTTTATCTACAAAAACATGGGCAATGTCTCCAGTTGGACACATTTCTTTATGTTATGCTGAGTGGATTTTGTTCTTCCTAGTGCTTGCTTTCTCATATACTCATGACCTTCACTCCATCTTTGTTATTTTATGGTATTTATGAGTACAAGTTTGTGGCTTGTACAGCACTGTTACAAGGGAGTTCTAGAATTAGTAATGGCATAACGTGTTGCAGAACAAAGTTTACAGCTAACAACTCTTTCTGACCAACTTGATAAATATGTAGATCTCTTTCTGTATACACATATGTATCTACAGCCCACATATCAACGATTTCACTCTGTTGCTTTCTCTGATCCCTTGGTAGACACCAGGTGTTGCCTCTAACAGTATGCCATTCTTAGGTAATATAAAGTAATTATAGTGTCTGTAGAAGCCCCTACTACTTGCTGTGGAAATAAGAACTTCACCACATGTGTATTTGTTCAGTGACATTGAAAGTGCAGCTCCTAGGAAGCATACGTAGTGTTGATTAGATTGTAATGTATGCTTTATGTTCAATAATGCACTCTCGTAAAAATGCTCTTCAAAATTATTTAACTTCCCATGGCATAGTCTCAGAAGGAACAAAAAAAAAAAAAAAAGCACCAGTGCTACATTGCTACCTTTTCCTGTCACATGACTAATGCAAACAGCAGAAAAAAATCTTATCTTTTCATTTCTTTTCTGGTACTTTTTAAAACAGCTCACCGGTTACTGCCCAGACATTAAAGACTCCACTCGGAAAAGATGGATGTTACATTTTCCACTCAACGTTAAATGTTTCCACTATATAACAGGAAAGCCTCAGTCATAAGGGCCTTCCAGCAGTGGCAACTGAGAATGTGTTTTTCAAAAAAATCCTTCACTGCTGGGGACAGCAGTGCTATCTGACCACAAGAGCCCTCTACTCTTGGTAGGATATGGAAAGTCCCGCTGGGACCTGGTAGCACTTTCCATAATGGGCACCTTTTGACTCAGGAGAATACATCTTCTGTATATAGCTGTACCATCCAATTGCATGTCCTGCAACAGCAGCTGTGATGAACTAATTGCAGTTTAATCTTGACCTGCCCATCATGTCAATAAAATTGCTTGATGCTTGTTTCAAACGTTTTAGGTATAGTTGAGTAATCAGTGTGCAGGCTACTTGAGAAATAGGTGCCATATAGATTATCCAACTTTGATCTATTTCTTTGATTTAGCACTGCAATTAAGTAGATTTGGTTCAAAGAGAAAGCTCATTGGTTGATGTTTTACACTGATGTGATAATGTTTACACAGATGTGCTTTGAAATCTCGATGATGGTGGATTTTTGGGTCCCACCACATGACAGGCTTCTGTTATCTGAAAGGTAAAATAATATAACATCTATCTGTAACTGCCTTCAGAGCAGGTCTGCCTGCTCTCTCTCTTCTGAGGTGATTTATCTGATCATTGTATTTTGCGTTAGCTTTTTTTAGTTTTAAGTCCCTCCACAGTAAATCACTTGCTTTAAAGCAGCCTTTTTATAATTCAGGTGCACACAGGGGCAGTACTTAGGACTGCAATGATGAAAAGGTGTAGCATTACCTGCTTTAAAGCACCTGCCAATTAATTAGCCCTATACTCTCTACAGCAAATAAAGCTAAGCAGTCAAATCCATTTGATCTCTCAGATTCAGACTGCGACTGAAAGGACCACGGAGCAAGACCGAAGAACTAATCTTTCATGATTCTCTGCAACTTTTTTGTTTGCATGAAACCTTAGAATGCCAAGTAGCTCTCTCGAATTTCTGAAAGAATTAACTGTGAAAGATCTTTGCGTTTTATATTCTAAACCTTTGCTTTAATATCAGCAAGAACTGCTTTGCGTAGCAAATGCTAAGACAGGCCATGTAGTTTGAGCCCTAGAAGTCATTAGATATTAAAGAAAAAGCAGCAAGGTATGAAAAAGTCAAGTTTTTAGGATCAACACACTATTGCTTTATCAATGCTAATAGTGAACGTATTTGCACGTGTGAACCATTTTGCTTTGGGTGAAAAAAATGCACAAGCTCTGGCTGCGAGAGGACAGCAGGACCCTAGATGGTTTCAAAACTACAGAAAGACACCAGTGACCCTTCAGGACTGGCATTATTGTTGCTTTGCGGTGCTCCCAGGTGCTGGTAATGAGCCTGCTGCAGGGCAGCAGCACGGATGGATGGATTGAGCCACCTCTTGGTCCTTTTTCCTTCACGTCTGCAGGCTTCGAAAAGATTTCTCCCAAACCACTTTCCTGCCCATTAATATTTCTGAAGGCTGATACCCAACTGCTATAGATCAGCTTCATGTCACATT